AAAAGCTGTTCACCTTTTTTTCTGCTGGCACACAAAGATGGAATCTCTTGAAACAATATGTGAATATAACAGTGAAGTCATGGAGTGACACAAGATGGGAGAGGAGGCTCCAAAGTGTCCATGCAGTCAGGTATCAGGCTTCTGAGATTCGAGAAGAACTACTGGAAGCGAGACAGAAGATTAATGATCCTGTGGCCAAAGTAAAGGCACAGTCACTTGCAGAGGAAGTTGGTTCTTACCGCTTCTTGATTTGCTGTGTAGTGTGGTGTGAGATACTGTCAAGAACAAATACAGTGAACAAGCTCCTCCAATCTGCTTCAATGCAGTTTGACATAGCTGTGCAGTTAATCTCGAATGCAAAAGCCTCTCTCACTCTATACCGGGACACTGGATTCCCAGATGCCCAGACAACAGCCAGAAGCATTTGTGAGGAAATGAATGTAGAAGCTGTTTTGAAGGACAAGAGGCTGAGATCCCGCAAGCGGCACTTTAGCTACGAAGCACCTGATGAGTCAGTAGCTGATGCACTGCGGAAGTCAACTTCTTTAACATTGTGGTCGACTCTACAATAGCATCCATTGATGAACGATTTGAAACTCTGAACCAGGTGAAGACTAAATATGGAGTAGTGCTGAACTTCAGCACTACATGTCAGATGTCCAGTGACTCCTTAAAGGCTCAGTGTATGGAACTTGAGAAAACTCTGACCTTCAACCAAGACTGTGACATCAGTGGAGTGGGTCTGGCAAACAAAATCAAGAATTTACCTGACCTACCATCAGGTAATATGACTGCCTTTGAGCTGCTTTCTTTCCTTTGTGAGAAAAATCTGGAGGAACTCTATCCTAACCTTTGGAAGCCCTGAGAATTGCTGTCACTCTGCCTGTGACCGTTGCCTCAGCTGAGAGGAGCTTCAGCAAGTGAAAATTATCAAAAACTATCTGAGATCTTCCATGTCCCAGGAACGTCTGAGTGGTTTGGCCATCATGAGCATCAACCATGATGTGGGGAAGCAAATATCATATGACAACATTATTGATGATTTTGCATCCAGAAAGTGCAGAAAGGGACACTTTTAATGGTGAGTAATTGAAAACATTAAAATGTTTACATGCCCAACATTTAAGACTGTATGATTGTTTGTTTACACATTTAGTGTGATTTGATTTGTTCTGTATTTATTTTGAGTTAGACCAACAGGTGGCAATATGTTTAAAGGGGGGATGAGTGGAAGCTATGGGTGTCAGGGGCGACTGTTGAAAAATTTTGGGGTTCAGTTAGGAGGGCCCCTTAGCAGAATTTTGCCTAGGGCCCCATCGAGGTCTGAACCGGCTCTGGACAAGGGAGACCCAATAGATACACCATTGAAGCAGAGACGGCAGCCAGAAGTTAGAGTGAGCAACAGTAGATGGCTTCCTGCAGTTTTTAGGCATTACACATTGGGCCTGATCTGCTAAAGGTTTTTGGTGTGTAAAACGTGTGCAAACTTGATTTCACCTGCAAAAAATCATGCAAGCTGATCTACTAACGGTGCGCACTCAGGATTGTGTGCAAAATAACACACGCTGTTCATTTTGTGAGTTTGCCTTGATGAAGATGCAATACTTGGTGTTGGGAGGAGTCAACGCAAATACTTTAATTTAGCACACGCAATTGCATTTACAAAGCTTGAAAATAATTGCGGTGGTTGTGACTGCGTCTATATTTAGTACATTTGAAAGGTAGGTGCTCATCGGCACAGCGTTCTGCACAGATGGCTGCAGAATAATATCTAGTCTAATTCATAAAATTCATTAAAATGTGCACAAACTGGCAAATTTTGTGTATTTTTAATGCAGCACAGCAGAAAACTTACCAAAGTTCAGAGTTGTGATGTGTTTCTTGACATTTTTGGAAACTGTGGAGGTTCTTCTGGAACTTAATTTTTTGATGAAAGTTGGGTTAATATACTGTCATGTTAGTCCAATAGAAGTTGTCTTCTGGGAAAATGTTGATATTTCCAATGGTCTCATCTTTTCCTTTTGATTTGCCTTTGTATTTCCTGCAGTACTTTACTAGCTTAATATATTGTTGCACAGAATTGGAATAACAAAGTTCACAGGAGGACGTCAGGAAAGATGTATGGATCAACAAAACATCAGGCTTTTGATAATATCCTGCTCTTCAACAATAGTTAATATTTTAACCTTGACCATGATCATTCTCTTTGTAGTTATTTTATCTGTCAGCTCAGAAACCGGGTTTACTTTTGCAATAGCCATTTGTATAGGTTTTAAAAGCCATAGACAAATGATGTCCTGCTAAAGGGCTCATCAGATTAGAAAAAGACACGTCACTTCCTGCAGTGACACCTTACATTTGGCACTGAATATAATTAGTGATTTACAGAGACATCCAACATTAGCCTAAAAGAACACTAACACATACAGTATTTAGCTACCACTCTGGAGTTTTTGAAGCCTCAAACACTGAGAACTTTTGGAAACGCTGTTGGCCATGTTTTAATTCGAAAATGCTAAAATCAATGGATAGGAACTGAGACTTTTGGAAACAATGATACACTTCCTGTTAGTTAAAGTTCAACGTCATTCTCGCCCCAAGAAAAGAAATCCATGCTCTTATTTTTTACCATAACTGTTGCTCTTTTGCTGTATTTTCTGTAAGTAAACTCATTAGTATGGGTGTATAGCCTTATTCTTAAGACCGTGGACTGTTCAAAAGGTATAGTATTCAGTAGCTAGTAGATTTAATGTCACGCTAACAATCAGACTTCAGATAAACATCAAAGTTAATCTGTAGCACAAAGCTCAGCATTTCTTTAGCTCTTCTTCTTGCTCATCACTAGTGGTGGACTGCACATCAGGACAACTGAGACATTTCCTTTTTGGTCTGCCTTGAACTGATAATATAGCAAGCAGGAGTTGACAGACCTGTCAAATCCACTTATCTGGCAACCGATGCAACTAACATAATGATGTCGGACTTGACATCTCTCTGTGCCAAATTATTAATTATTATATTACAATTGTTGTAGCAGCTGTGCGCCCACTTATGATAGTACTATAACAAGTTGCCAGTGTGGCAGTATGCAGTGATTTGGTCTTAGTGAATTTCAGCTGGTTTCCGATCCCAGCCAATCGCTGCATGAGAATGCTGTATAAATACGGGCAAAGAGCACCTGTCTGCCTCTTGCTTGCCAGAGGCTGGGTTACGTCACGTCCCCCGGTGGATTTAGCTTCCTCCTCCAGTCATTGTAAGTTGCTCATGTATATATTTGCTTTGTATTGCAGGGTAAAGATAGCCTAGCAGCGGCATGGCGCCGGCTAACCTACAAGAAACCACTGCTGCTTTGCTTTGCTTCGCCTTGCTTTGCCTCGCCTGACACTGATTGGTCTATTAGTACAGTCTTTATTTCCTTTGGTAATAAGTGGGATTCATTTGTTAATTTGTGTTTATTTAGGTTATTGGATTCTGCATTTCATTTGATTCTGCAGATTTTGGTTAATCATTTGATCTTGTTTTCTTGAACCGCTGTCTCTGCCTCTTTTAGCAAATAGACCTAAGTGCCCTTTCTGTCTTTCTTGGGGTTGATTATATTTGGAGTATTTCCCCGGGTGAAACTCCCAGGGTGATGTTGTCTAGCAACCAGATTTAAATCCTTTACACTGCCCTAATTCATACGTTACGCCTTGTGTAGCCACACCAGCAATATGGAAGGTTGTGGTCAGAAAAAAAGGAAAGGTGGAGCAGGGGGATAGAATTAAGAAGAGAAAGGTTCTTCCTCAGACACATCTAAAAACTGCAAAATAAGCAAAATGTTTACCAGGAAGGGACCAAGTATGTCACACTGTACAGCAGTACAGGACTGTGGTCAAGCCAGCCTCTATTGCAAAAAACATGGTCGAACTTGTTAGAGTGATTTCAAAAATAAAATATACCTCCCTATAAACAGGAGGCCACATTTGTTCAGACTGTGAATACATGATTTTATTAATGAGGTAACAAATTAATTAATTGATTAAAATACCCAAAATGAATTGCACTGAATGAAGTAATAAAAAATAGCAACTGAAATTAATGACTGCATGTGAAACAATTTCAGAGAAAATTAAGAATTAATAGTGAATAATTACACAAACTTTACAATGAAGAAAGACTTCAAGCAACAAAATAACAGACGGTCATTGAAAAATCACAGACCAATTCCACTTCACAATGAGAGTTCACCACCTCAGATTGTCACAGAGAAAATATCAGGACAATCTGTTGTAGAATTTCTATATAAAAGCCCTTGAAAATAACATATTTTCACTGTTTTGGTTGTGGCAACAAATTAGAGATTCTTATGACACTGGACAATAATGACATCACTGAAAAGATAGCAGAGGGCAGTGATTTACATTGCCAACCACTTTGGTTACGTTGGGTTACCGTTTTGGCTGAGGGGTGGAGCAGTCGTCCTCCAACCAGAAGGTCAGTGGCTCGATCCCAGTTTTCCCATCCCCATGCCGAAGTGTCCTTGGGCAAGATGCTGAGCCCAGAATGGCCCCTCATAGAAAAAAGTACTGCCCATAGATGCACTTTATGAATGTGTGTGAATGGGTGAATGGCATAACTGTACTGTAAAGAACTTTGAGTGGTCATCAAGACTAGAAAAGTGCTATATAAATACAGACCATTACATCAACAAATAGGGTTTGCTTATAATTAGAGGTATGGTGCTTTGAAATGCTTGGAAAGGAATTCAATTCCCAACCTGAATTATGGTCCCAGTCCGCCCCTGCTCATCACCCACAGAATTTGCATTTTTTCTGCTTGATTGTTCTTGATTAGGGACCAAACAAAGTGTACTTGTAAGGTTAATAACAGATTGAGTAAGGTTTAGGTCAGCAAGTTAATATGTGTTATTATTATAATGATGATAATTAAATAAAACAATAAAGGTAAATACACACTCTCACATACACACACACACATACAAATAAGAGGAAAACACTTACCCCATTGCAGGAAACGAGATACATACTTCTCCCTTGCAAAGGGTGAGGAGTAGAACTCCTGATAGACCCCCACTAGTAGATCCAACATGGTCTGGAGACCAACAGGTCCTGTGGTCTGTGGGTCCCCAGCCTCGTCAGGTGCATCAAGGGCAGGGCTGGTCGACATAATGTCCAATGGGTGAGGTGCGTGCTGGTTTAGAATAGCAGTGAAAACCTGATGTCCATGAGTTGTTGAATTTGCATGAATTTAAGGTGGAACATCTTTATCCTCTTCCTTTACAGTTTCTCTATTTGGTTTCTTGAGAATAACGGTAACAGCCCACCCTCTCTCTGGCTGCACCCATGCCAAACATACGGTCACCTTTTGGGATCTCTTTCTGGATCACAATCTAACCCTTCTCCTTACCTCCGCCTGACCTGCTCTCTGTCTTTACCTGCTCAGTTTGATCATTGTTCAAGTTTGTATTGTTTCTATGCAAACATGCTCTTTCAGTAGGTGATGTTCCCTCTCACGTTTTTCCTCTCTCCGTTTTGTCTTTATAAGTCAGTTCCCTCCTCTCTGTGTCTGTCTGTCAGTCTCTGTCGTTGCCCTCGTTCTTCTCTTCCTGTGGCTTTCCATGGTTGTGCAACATCTGTCAAGCCTTAAGTTTCTCTAGCTCTGACTCAAGACCTTTTTTGGTGTTTGGGTCTCCCTCTGTGTCTCTACCCACTCCCTCTATTCAAAGTAGTACCCTTTTTTTCTACTACAACAGTGAAACCTAATATAGAAGCATGTGCATGCAAAACAATTCCTCTTTTTCTTTTACAACATGTTTTTTACCTGCCCTTGTTTGCCTTTCTTCCTTTTTTCTTTGCCCTGTGACAGAGCAAATATGAACCACTGACCTGAATCAGAGCTATTTCTTTTCACTCATGTTATGTTTTGAATCTTTTATTTTGTCAACAGTAAAAATATTTTTTTAGATCCATTCATTCTTTTTTACCTTTGTTGTGTCACCCCCTCTCCCCTTTGTCACCCACTTACTCCTCCTTGTTTAATGCCCCCACCCCCTTCTCTCTCACTCACTCTTTTTTTGAAGGATGCAGCATTTTTCATTTCCTCTTCACAATGATCACAACAGTACATACAATAACTGCATAATAAACATCAGACCGAGAAATTCACAAAGAATCAATCCAGGACATCATTAACATGGTCATATGAAAGCAATTGCTGTTGTGTTAGAAAGGAATTTTTGTGAGTAGACAGCAAGCATGTAGGGTGTAGGAGAAAATCATTATAGACAAAATCATTGTCAAAATGACATTCAAACCAATATTATTAAATTCAGTTATATTCCTATAGCACCAAATATCTGATTCAGTGTGGGGACTTTCTCATATCTATGTTGTCTAGGGCAGTGGTTCCCAACCTGGGGTCTGCGCCCCCCACAGGGGGGCGCCAGAGATGGCAGAGGGTGCGCAGAGCTTTGTCTGCTCTTAAGTTGTCAAGTTATTAAAAATATATTTGTGCATATTACATTTAAAAAATCCCAATAAGACACTCAATTTGATAATCAAAAGTCTTTAAAAAAATTAAAACATATATTTTGTCTTTTTTTCTTTTTCGTCTGTGACCTCTGAACTTCCATTCAGTCTCGTCAGGACTACCGGCTACGTTACCGGGTCGATTGTTTAGCATCACACAAAATGTCGGGGAAATGAAAAAGTGATGATACGTCCTCTGTATCAAAAAAGAAGTCTGTTACAAAAACAAGGCAATATCAGGACAGTTACCTCGATTTGGGTTTTATGGAAAGCCAGGACACATTTCGGCCAGAATGTGTCATTAGTGGTGAGAAGCTAGCTAACGACAGCATGAAGCCAAGCAAACTCAAACGAGACCAGGAGACTTAACACCCCCAGACTGCTGGTGAAAGACGGGAATATTTTGAGAGGAAGAAGCAGCTGGCACTATCAACAATATCTACGGACATTAGAAGCGCTTATGAAAGAGCAACTGGTGATTTACACAGAGCCACGGAGGCATCATTTGAGTGTTCACTATTAATTGCCAAGGCTAAAAAGCCACACAATATTGGAGAACAGCTTATCAAGCCCGCCTGCCTGAAAATTGTGAAGCGGCTGTGTGGACCACAGGTGGCTGATAAAGTGAGAACTGTCCCGCTATCTGACAACACTGTCAAAGACAGAATTGATAAAATGGCGAACGACTGCCAAAACCAGCTGCATGAGAAGCTTAAGACTTCTCCCTTCGCCATTCAGCTGGATGAAACAACAACAGTGGCAGAGGAGTCAGACATTCTTATGTCTACAAATCTAACAACAACAACAACAGGCCAGGATATATTTTTAGCCGTGGACTCATATTTCTCATCGCACAGTCTGCCCTATGAAAACCTGGTCGCGTGTTGCACTTACGGGGCCGCAGCAATGATGGGCAAAAACAAGGGATTTAACACCCGTCTGAAGGAAAAAGCGCCATTTTTCCTTTAGGCGGGGTGCACCATTTTTCACTGCATGCTGCATCGCCATGCATTGGCAAGTAAAAAACTTTCAGAAGACCTCAGCAATACCCTGTCAACTGTTGTTTAAGTTGTAAATTTTATTAGAGCTCACCCTACTAATAAGAGACTTTTGGCCCAACTGTGTGAGGATGAGGCACATCAAACATTACTGCTTCACACGGAGGTGAGATGGTTGTCGTGTGGACAAGTGCTTGTGCGTTTTATGGAATTGCAAGAAAAAATAAAAGAATTCTTGCAACATCACAACCAACCACTGTGTGAACAGCTCATTGATGCGTTTTGGATCAAAGCGGCTTACCTGGCAGACACATTCACACTGTACAATGAGACGAACAAGCGGATGCAAGGACCCGAATCAAACGTCATGTAGTGCAAAGACGCTCTGGATGCTTTTGTGCGCAAACTGGAGTACAGAGCTGCAAAAATGTCAAATGGGGACTTGCAGCATTTTCCACTTCTGCTGAAGCAGTCTGATGGCACCGTCAGTGCATCTTCACGCACAGAGTGAGGAGTTTAAGAGCTGCTTTGCCGACATCGACGACTGTTTGTCAAAGGAAATGTGGGTGATGGATCCCTACATTTCCAGCCTTGAGGACGTGGCGTACCTCGGCTGTGAAGATGAACTTTATGACCTTCAAGCTGATTCTGTGTCAAAAAAATATTTCCAGGAAAAAGGATACAAACAGTTTTGGATCGTCAAAGGACACGCTGTCGCTCACACCCTGGCCAAACACACAGTAACAAAGGTTATTCTCCCATTTAGTACTACCTACCTGTCTGAGACAGCCTGCAGTGCCCTTGTCACAATAAAAACAAAAGCTAGGAACAAACTGGATGTCCACCAGGATTTTAGGCTGGCTGTCACAACCATCACACCTGACGTGGCAGCCCTGGTCAGAGGTATGCAAGCCCAAGGTGGCCAAGGAGACCTCTGAAAATAAATGTTTTCTTTATGTAAGAAGGTGTGTGTATGCCCACTGTGTTAAGTTGTCAAAGAAAAACTGTTTAACTTTAATGTTTAGCAGCTAACATTTCCTTAAAGTTATTTGTGACAGAAGGGAAACAAAACTGTATGCTGATCTGATGTATATCTGACAATGAATCTCTATTTAATTTGCGATAAAATAGGCCTACTCTGTTTGGCAGGAAGAAAGTTAAGGTCATGTTCGAAGTTTAAATGATGATGAATGATGAAATGAAAGATGAAGTTTAAATGCTCTCTTGAAAAGAGACACATTTTTATGTCCTTGCAGTTTTATGTCCTTGCAGTTTTTTTTTTGTAAATAAATGACTTGATAACTTCATTCTTTTGATGCATTTGTGCAGACGGGTCGCAGCTGGGAGAGGAGGGTGTGGGGGGGCCTTGCTTGTCTTGGACACAGGCAGGGGGGGCTTTAAGGAAAAAAGGTTGCGAACCACCGGTGTAGGGAGTGAAGCCTTTGACCTTGGCCATGCTTTCGCACTCCCCTAACCTGACAGAGAGTGGCACTACGCCACAAGGAGAGGAAACGGTGTCTTCGATTAAATAAACGTATTAGATTTAACAACTTAAACTAACAACTTCAATTAAATTAACCATCATCATAATTAACATCTTGTAGAGTCTTCAACCCATGTGCATTACGCATGTAGAGGGTCACCACCATGGAGAGGTTACTAGCACATATGATGCATGGCAATACGAATTCCAACTTTTTCTGATCATAAACCACAACTGTTTTTTCTTTCATGATACAACATTCCTATGAGAATGTGACCCTCCCCCTGTCTAAGAGTTTTCCTGGAGGGCAGGGATGTTCGCAACATCCATTTAAGAAAGGAAATGATGAGACAACGATATTACAGGTACCAGATGTATGATTTACTGCGCATGTACTGTAACAGAAAAAAATTATTAATTTAAAAAATCAACCTTTTATATGCATGCAATCGGGGAGAATGCAGCATGGATGCATCCTCAATACTTTTCCAATTAGTGACATTTAAAAAAAATTTGGCCAAGTTAAGCCGAGAGACCTTCCTGGGGACTTTGTCTTGAGTCTGCTGCCCAATTACTGAGTTAAACATTTAAAGAAGCCTCCTGGGGAGCCACTTAAAGGAGAAGTTCATTTTTTTCAACCTGGTCTTTATTTCCAGCATATGGTATGGTATGGTATCTACTCACCCATAAAGGTTTGGAGTAACTTGGAGTCCTTCGGACACTTTTAGATCCACACGCGATCGGCGTATATTCATACAACGCAAGGGACTGGGGCATCCACAATACAGCCTCTAAATAACACATTATCTGCCGCGAAACTCTTTATTTACTATAAATCGCCAGCACTAGTCCCCAGTGAGTCCAAATTGCTTTGTTTACATCCCGGGCTTTCACTAGGGTGACGTCACCAAGTATTTTTTTAAAGCAGCTGTGTCCTGGTTTCTGATGTACATCAAGCTGACTTGCTAACATACAGTAATTGTAAAATGCATTGCAATGAATAAGTAGAATGTAGTTCTTAGTTAGTGAATTTTGATTTAAATGTGTATTCATTGTTTTAAGTGTGGGGGTGTTACGGCTGTATGTGTTTACTGTACT